TGTTAATGGAAAAACAAAATGATTAATTTGTTATTTATTTATTTTATTTTATCACCATGACAAGTCTTAATAGAAACCTACAAATATAATTTGGGGTCCACAAGTGTAGTTGGCAGTACCATCTCTGTGATACAGAAGCAGATGTAGTAGGCAAGGACAAAAAATATATAGAGAGAGAGAGCATATAATTGAGGGGGACAAAATCTTTTCTTTACACATTTCACAATAGAGGATCTCTGCTTGCTTGCTTTGACTTGTACCTTCTTCTGTTATGGCTTCATGTTTTGGTTTGAATTATTAGATCAATGCACCTCTTTGCTAATTAAACCATTGATTAACTAATGATAAGTCGTCACAGGTTGAATTTTATTTAAAAAATGATTCTTTCATTAAGTTGTTACAGAAAATGGTTAGATTTATTTATTTTAATTGGTCTACTTATATGGTTAGATTTATTTATTTTAATTGGTCTACTTATATAACAAATAAGGAATGAAATCCCTCATTTAATATGTAAAAATTATCTTTACTCGTTTAAATATAATCAACTTTAAATCTTTGATACAACTCTATTTAATTTGATAAAACTCTCTCTCTCATTCATTGTGTTCATTTTCTTCAAATTTGCTCAAGCCACTTATCCTATACATAACAAAGTGAAACTTATTTGACTGGATCCGAATTCCCTCTTGTGCCGGAAATCACATGATATCTTAAAATGTTGACGTTTAGAGGCATAATTGACAATTACTTAAAATTAATTAAGACGATATTTACTCATTTCTTTAAATAGCCTTTTCGTTTTCGGAATATTAATCAGTCCTCAAAGTAAATTAACATGATGGAAGATATTTGAAAAAAATTAGAGGAGTATTCACGCCAGGAGACTTGTTTAATTGAATAATTTTTTATTGATTATTTATACTAAATACAAGGTAAGTAAAAGACACACTCATTTATTTGTTGCATAAATGACCAATTTACTACAACTATTCGATACAAAAATCATTTTTCAATAAAGAAGAAGAATATGTGTTTTTATATATATGTATTTATATATAAATTTTTATTCACGAGTATATTTGTGGTTCTTATTTAAATTGGATTTATACATATGGATTTAGGTGCACAGCCTTAATTAAGGTATATGTGTCTATAAATATAGCGGTTGGCCAACGTTAGAGGGTGGGAATGTAAGTGCGGAAGAAAATAGAGTGACGGAGATATAGAAGGAGAGGGAGGAGAGAAAGGGAATAAATATAATAATGATATTATTTTATTTTTAATTTTATTATTATTTTATTTTTGAATCTTATAATAGAAGTGAGTTACTTTGTCTCAAAACAAAATAAATAAGATGTACTTACTACCATATCATAGAAAAATAAGATGTACTTATTGCTAGTGCTATCATAGAAAAATCAGCTGAAATAAAAATGCACACGTGGCAAATTCTGTGAGAGACTAATTATATAAACAGATACGTATTTGCTTTTATACAGAATGTAGCACGACTAAGTACTAATTATAAATAAAACAATATTCATACTTCAAAAAGAGGTGAATACAGTAACATGGCAACATTTAATTTTCACAAAAATAATTAATTGCCATTATTGTGGGTCCCTTACACAACAAAATATATGACGAAGACAAATTACCAACTTAAGCTCAATGTATCAAACAAATTTTTTGAGAATTTTATTAAATTTTTAAGAAATTCAAAGAATAATATTATTGTTTTTGAGAGCATCAAATCCATGTTTGTAATTTAAAATTTCTAATTATTTAATTTTAATAGATGTTACTTTCAAAAGCGAGGTTGGTGTGTTTAAATTTCCAACAATACAAAGCAATGCAACCAATCCCCATGTGCACTATTGGGCGTTTCTGGAGATGTCCACTGGAAGTAATAAAAGAATGGACCGATGATAATTGATTGTGATCTTACACATCAGGGACCCAAGTGATAGCGACTAATCAAGTATGTGGTTCAATTTATAAATATTTGTTTATATTGATTCAGTTCTGATTAAATGGCTTAAACTTTGAACTCAAAATTTTAAATGCCATTTTTGTCCGCATGTATGACCTACGCAATGCATGATTGAGCTACAAGATCTGAGTTTTTGTAACCCTCCTACCAAGTGAACATGTCATTTTCTTTGGTCCATGTCTTTCTAAGTCAATATGGTGAATACAAATTGGGCGGGGTACACCATTAAATTAAGGTCAATTTCAACATAAACCCGAGGGGGCTTGTTGGGGAATTGAGATCGGGTTGGTCCGATTAGACTCTAATTTGTTCGTTTAGTCAAATCAAGATATTAAAATTTACTGGAGAAAAAAAAAATCAAGATATTAGTTAATTTATTTTCTAAGATTTAGTTTATTGAATCATGTAAATTAGGTATGTGTTGATTTAGTTTATTGAATCATGTAAATTAGGTATGTCTTGATTTATGAAAAAGTAAATACGTTAAAAAAATTACATGGGAATTTCACCATATTGCTGAAAATGTTGTAAATTTTGCTTCAAATGACGATGCAATATATTCACTCTATTTTTCTCCAATTACATTTTATTTATATAATGACAAAAATATCTATAAACTCATTAATGTATTCTCTTTATTTTTAGGATTAAATGCTCCGACACCCCCTTTAGGTTTGTCGTTTTTGTTCACAGATTAAACTAGTGAAAAAAATAAAAATAAAAAATAAAAAATAAAAGAGCTTAAACACTCCTTCCGATTAGTTGATTGTTAGAAAAGTCAAAAGCCAACTAAGTTAAAAAATATAACCAAAACTATCCTTCCCCAATTTAAGTCATTTTTATTTGTTCACAAATATCAACCTAAATTAACTTCCGAAAAAAATAATATATCAACCTAAATTATATATCATTTTAGCATGATAGCATCTAACCCTTTATCTTATAATATCATAACTACCATTTTTAGAAGATTTCATTACTTCTCGTGCTAACAAGATCAATTATTTTTTTCAAGTCAACATTTCCTTCATTTGTGAGATCTTCTATTATTACTTAGCAATGTTAAAATCACATGAGAGACAAGAAATATTAGATGCAAAGTAGAAGAAGAGTATCGAGAGAAAAGAGAGGTATAGAATTAGAGCGGGAGAATGCAATAGTCTCTGGTAGATCGTGGACACGGTTACATATAAATATAAATATTTATTTTTATACATTTATTCAGTAATTATAAAACTTTAATTAATTTATAATTTCTATACTAAGACTTATTATGAAATGAATTAGAAAATGAAATTATGTCATTATTATAATGATTTTTATATTATCTATACTATTATTTCACTACTTTGTTATAATAGTATTCATTTCAAGATTATTAGGTAGACTTAGGAAGTGTCAAGAAAATGTCAGTGAAGTATTTGGGAAGTGTTGACGAAGTGTTCGAAATGATAAAATTAATTTTTATTTATGGACACGTATATGAAGTGTTGGACACGTATTTGAGGAGTGTCCGAAGAATGTCGGCGTCCAACACAAGTACGATTCTTTCGTAGAATTATCCGTGCTTCCTAAGTTTAAATCGACAACCGAAAAATATAAACAATTTGCACATTACTATATATTTAAAAAAATTTACTGCACTCTATTGAAATTTTGCAAATAATAATACTTTTAGTGTCCCCTGTGTGACCACTACATGTACCTAATTAATTCGTCAGGTTGTAATTGATTTATTAGAAACGTTTGGTTCTTCCACGTTTTCATTTTATGCTAGACCCAAATCTAACATTATAGAAATGCAAATAGTTACCATTATACCAAATCATTTTTAGTTATTAAATGAAAACAAATTAAGGAAACAGAGAATTGAGAGCCACAGAAGTTGTTATGAGTGAATCGATTCTTTGGGTTGTATTCCAGCAAGCCAATTTTAATTAAACACTGTAATGGACTTTGTGTTGAAGAACTCAACTGGCTTTTATTATTATTCATTCATGCATCAACCAGCTCTATCAGTACAATTAATATTTTAAAAATAAATAAAATTGACAACCACTTTTCATGCTTAGCTATCGTTACACCATGAAGGAAAGCCATTCTCAACGCTGAGAAATCAATGGATGCAAATACGATTTACTTTACTAGCCAAAGAGTAACGGTGGTATTTGAGAAAAAAAAAAATTTACAAAGTTATGATTAAAAGTGGTGTCTTTTTTTTAAAAAAAAAAAATTGTAATGTCATTAGATAAAAGTGGAGCCCTATATATTTTTTAAAATTTGAGAAGTTTTTGAAAAATTCCTTGACATGGAGTGCATCCTTAATGCCTCTAAGGATTACAATTGATGATGCTTTGGTGTCCGCTCCTCCATAGAGGCCACAATTTTTATCTGAATCAAGACGTCATATTTTTAATATATTTAAAATTATTTAGGGAAAAATCTTATTTTTAATTTAACTTTATACATTCAACACTTCCAAATTATATAAAAATTGATAAAATTTTAATCTAATGAATCTCGCTTATGATGGACTTACCATATGTAAGTAAATCGATGTTATTTTGTTTGATAGAACTTATCGAGTCAATAATATCTTTTTAAAATTATTTTTATAAATTAAAATTACTTAGAAAAAATACTATTAAATTTAAATGTCATTTAATCATCCAACACTTGGAGATTATATGAAAATTGATAGAATTTTAAATCAATGCATCTCATTGATTAGATTAGATAAAAGTTGGATGAAACAATAAACATTTTCCAACGGTCTCTAATTCCAGTGACGTGGAAGGGGCAATTAGGTAATTTGAGTGAGGCCCACGATGCCTCCTTTTACGTCCACAATCCAAAATACGTGAGTCTCTTAACTCATGGGCCTTGCTTTTGATAAATGCCACATGATTGACGTGCACTCTCTCTCTCTCTCTTTCCTCAATAAAGAAACCCTGCTTTTATGACTTTCTCTTCAACAATATTTTGTTCCCTTCTGCACACTTTGGATAAAGAAAAGTGTGAAAACGCACACACAGACATTCAAACTTCAAAAAAATAAATAAATAAAATAAAATCAAAATCTGACACAATCAAGAAAGTTTTAGAAAGTGCCAAACCCAACGCCTATACTCTCTCTCTCTTCCTCTCGTTCTCTCTCATATTTTTGTGTCATTGCAACTTAGAAGAGAGTCAATAGACATGAATCTTCTTGTTCTGCTGATACCCATTGGGGTTCTTAGCTCCATTTTAGTTTCATCTCCAATTGAGGGCAGAGCAGTCCCTCCTGTTTCTTCCATCTCTGACCCAGTTCTTCCCACTGAGAAGGAAGAACCCATTTCCCAAATTTCTTCAGACGTGGAAGCTCAATCACCAGGTAACCCAACAATGCCCACCATTACTTGTATGAATACCTAGTTTTTACATAATGGGTTATTGATTGTTTAGGTTTCTTGAGCATTTGCTTTGATGGGTTTTAGTGGATTTTCCCCTTGTTTGAGAATCTGACAGAAATCAAGACCCCTTTTGCTATTAGTTGATGCTGATGAATTTGAAAATGACAGAAGTGAGAGAGGACTAACATTTTGTTCTTTTAAACTACACAAATTGCCAGTTTTGCTTTGTCTTTTTTCCTGAATGGTTGGACCAATTTTGTTCAATTATTTTGTCTGAATTATTAACAATTCATTACTTTGATATTGTGATAAATCATTACTTTCTTTCTTTCTTTTCTTTTTTTTCCCTTTTATTATGGGAGCTTTACATCAGTATATATGAATGTTTATGATTATTTTAGCTATGGATACTACTGTATATTCCAGTTTCATTTTACAATTTATTTATCTGAAATCAGGAGTGCCAAAGGTTAAAATAGTGCACCACCAGGAAATAAATAAGAAAATTGTAGTAGCACTCATCATTGCTGCAGCTCTTCTTGGTGGAATTGTGCTATTTCTATCTTGTTTCTGGATCTATAGACTGAAACATCGGAAGGACTCCATTGTCAAAAATCAACAGAGCCCAGGTTTTTTTTTTTACCATAAAAATCTCATTCAATTTTCTTTCATGTTTGAAATGAAAAAAAAAAATCCTACAGTTGTTATGCTTCTTGTTAATTTTATGCAATTTTCCTTGTAATTTTTATGTACTTTTAGCATTTGAACTGGGAGATATTCCGAATGGGCTCTCCTTGGGTCCTATTTTGGGTAGATTCAATACTTTGAGAATGTCTGGTAAGAAGGGTTCGATCGCTGTCATGGATTACCCATTGTTAGAAGAGGCAACAAATGATTTCCAGGATGACAATATTATTGGTGAGGGTAGATTTGGATATGTTTTCAAAGCTCGCATAAAGGATAACTTCCTTGCAGCAGTGAAAAGACTCAATATTGAAGGCCAGGAAGCTGACAGAGTATTTGCGGTAATGTTTCATCATAAATTTACTATGATTTCTATCTCTTGCATTTATTTTTTCATTTATGGTTTCCTTTTTTGTTCGATTGTCAACTGAAATTGCAGAATGAGGTGGACTGGTTAAGTAAAATTCAGCATCAGAATATAGTTTCTCTTTTGGGTTACTGCATTCATGGGAAGACAAGGTTTATGGTTTATGAGATGATGCAAAATGGATCTTTAGAATCCCAATTGCATGGTAAAAATTCTCTCATTCTTCATATGAAGTAAGGAAGACGGGCGGATAATAGAATATACAAACATCATTTCTTGTTTTTCACAACTTTTGCCTGATTGATATTTCAGGTCCTACACTTGGATCAGCTTTAACTTGGCATATCCGGATGAAAATTGCTCTTGATGTTGCAAGGTACACCATTGTGTCATTTTGGTTTGTTATTTATGTTTCTTCTCCTTTTCTTATGCTGGAAGAACGAAAGTTGACTTTGTTGATGTTTTTTTATGCATGTTTCTTAGACTTCTCTTATACTAAAAGAATGAAAATTGCCTTTGTTGATTTCACCCAGAGGATTAGAATATCTTCATGAGAGGTGCAACCCTACTGTGATCCACAGAGATCTAAACTCATCTAACATTCTTCTGGATTCCAAATTCAATGCTAAGGTAAAATCATAAATGTCAAGCAAGATCTCTGCATGAACACATTTGTTTTTCTCCACGAGGTTGACTAAAATGTTTCATTTTGTCTAATGGATTCTGCCTTTCAGCTATCTGATTTTGGCCTTGCCATAACTGGTGGAAACCAGAACAAGAACAACATAAAGCTTTCGGGAACATTGGATGACTTAGCACCAGAATACCTTTTAGATGGTATGCCAATATTTGACATTACTTCCATATTGTATTCATGTACTTACTAGACACTCATTGCTCGATCTATTTATTTGTTTTACTTTAAAGAATTCTAACATTTTTGTCATGTAATAGCCCCTTTGTAGTATCATTATTATCTCCAACCCTTACCTAAAAAAAATCTCAACTCAACTCAAAAAAGCTTTTTCCCAACTATTTGCATTGGTTAGACGAACTCTGTTTCAGTACTGCACTTTATCTAAGGTCATAGACTTAATTAAAAAACATATTAGTTTTGGACCTTTTTGTCTTCTCCTTTCCCTAACAGTACCCTAAATAAGAATCACATTACTTTTCCTCACTGATGTAGTCATTTGCCATCATTGCACATGGTTTTAATTGATTTTCTCTTTTTGTCACCAATTAAAGCTATCTCAACCATCTCATGAATGACTTCATTTATGATCTTATTCTTTCTTTTCTTGCCAGATATTATCTTAGCATTTGCATTTCTACTACGCATATATGAATTTATATTATTTCTTAGCTAGCAGCCCGCCAACGTTCTTTCCCGTAAAGCATAGTTAATCTAATAATTGTTTTGTAGAATTTACCTCTGGATTTTAGTGGTATACACTGATTGTACAATACACCAGAAGCACTCCTCCATTTAACCCATCCCACTTTAATGCTTAACTGACTTGGTTGTAGAGCTTCTCCCAATATCTCTATTTTTATTTCTCGTCTCTGCTCTAGTTTTATTACTTAAAACGATATCTTCAACAAAGTAGCACATACTATGGAACCTCATCTAAATTTTTTTTATTTGTTCATCGTTGAGTAAGGGGAAAAATATTGGCTTAGGGCCATCCTTGATGTAAGGCTAAATAATTAGAAATTGACTTGTTTCTCCCACAACTGTCCTTAATATGGTCAAAATTTCATTATACATATCCTTTAACACATCCATGTATCTTTATGTAGCTCATTTCTTTTCCAAAGTGCAAATATTTTATCTTTAGGAACCTAACATGGATTTTTTTATTTTTATTATTATTATTATTATTATTATTATTATTTTTATAACAAAAATCTTTCTTTATCTCTTTAAATCTTCCCATTAATCTATTTAGTTAGTAAATAGCTTCCTTTGTTAACCTTATTTAATAAATTTAAATTGATCTTCCCCTACAGTTTCACGTATTGGTCATTGTTCAACAAGTCTCTCCTTGAATTTCATAGTATTACTCATTAATTTGATACCAGGATGATTTGAACCACTTTAACGTCTCTTCTATTTTTGTTTAGAACTGCTAAATACCTCTATGGCACCACTTATCAATTATTTACTTAGTTATTACTCCACCATTAACTAAACATTTCCAAATCTTGAGAGGAATGCCATCTTGTCACAAAATATTTTCCTGTTTTTGTAGTAATGCCATCTAGTCATAAAACATTTTCCTGTTTTTGTAGCAATGCATTTTTTACCTGCACAACCTGATCCTTTGAAAAAACTTTTTTTTCTCTAATCTCCCTAATGTTACTATATTCTCATTAACTAAACTTTCTTTATGATTTTCATTTATCAACTTAGCAAGATTTTCATTTACTATATTCTTCTTTAACCTAAACTTCATTTCAAATTCCTTGTTGTTTCTTTTAGCATCTTATAATCAAATAATATTACTTTCTCCCCTTCAAAATCCCACTGTCTAGTACTTAGGTTCATAGTCCCGTCTTTCTTGATTGATAATTTAATGTATTGAGATTTGTACAAATAGCTGTACATTTACTGCAACTTCGGAAAGTTTAGACATAATAACATCACAAATTCTCCCATTGTAACAACGCTCTTCTATCCGGAAATACACTTCTTCACAGAAGCAATTTTCCCCCCTATTTACCGGTCTGGTTATATGAAGCATATGAACCTTCGTTTTTATTCATATTACAGTAGCTATAAATATTGAGGAATGATAATTTATGCAAGAACTATACAAACTTCTCCAATTTTCATATTTCTCCTATTAATTTCTAAATCCACTGTCACAGAGTCTCAAATTTGCATGTCAATACTCCATTACCTCACAGTTGATGTAAAGAATCTGAGTTACCTTGTTTTCTTTCACGATTATGTTATGGAATTTATCGGGAAAAATGTATTGAGTTGGCTGCTGCGATCATGCAATTGGAATGTAGCCCTCAAGTGTATTGAGATCATGCAATTCGAATGCTGGCCTCAAGTATATTTTGACCCGAAAGTCTCACTTTGTTTCAAGAACAAACAAACTATTGGGAACATATAGTTCTTGGTGAACTTTCAAAGTAGCAGAAATTGAAATTCCTTCTCCGTGATCAACTAAATAATTATCTTCTTGTGGTGCAAACATGTTAGTTTTTTGAGAAATATTTCCTTCTTGTACTTTTCCCAAAAACCAAAGACCCTAAACATTTGTACACATGTTAAACTTTCAGGTAAATTAACCGATAAAAGTGATGTCTATGCATTTGGTGTTGTTCTTCTGGAGCTTTTGCTGGGAAAAGGTCCCGTGGAAAAATTAGCGCCGGCTCAATGCCAATCAATTGTCACATGGGTAAACTTCCTTCAACCATTGCCTAGCCAACCCATGAAACTTCACTCTGTTTCTTTTATTGTAACCTAAGGTTCTTAACCTTTTTTTGACAAGCAGGCCATGCCTCAACTTACGGACAGAACGAAGCTCCCAGATATCATTGATCCCGTGATCAGAAATACAATGGATCTTAAGCACTTATATCAAGTTTGTTCGATAGAACCAGTATTATTTGTCAACTTTTGTTAGTACTAGCCATGTTTAAGTTGCTAATCTGAATTTGAATATATGATAGGTTGCTGCCATAGCTGTACTATGCGTACAACAAGAACCAAGTTATAGACCGTTGATAACAGACGTCCTGCACTCCTTCATCCCTCTTGTACCTGTTGAGCTCGGAGGGTCAATGAGACTTGCAGAACCTATGGCACCTGCCTCCACCGGTCCTGTAGCTGCTAATGATGCCATCTAGACTCTATGGCTTGCACATGTTAGCACTTCTTCACGCATTTGTTTCCACGAGAAGATGAAAATTTATTGGAGTTATGCTGGGAAGGAAGTTTTCTGTTTTGTTCCAACTTAAGTGAAGCAAATGAAATGTGATTGTTTGATAGCACTGAAATTATCCTCTGTATTATAGGTGTGTTTGGACAGTGCTTTCCCTTTTAGCTGATTCAGTAACAGGTATCTTTTTGAGATAAAAATGGAGATCTATGTTGTTCAAGCTTGGAAAAGAAAATGAAAGAAAGGAAATACAGAAATAATGTTTTGAATTCAAAGGTTCAAATACCAGCAAAATTGCCATCTTCAGCTTTTTATATACTGATCTGACTTAATATGATCTTAATATGGTCTTCAGAGTTCTGATACCCTAAAAAAATGCAATATGACTGAAGAGTGGGCGGGTGACTGCTAGTCTGCTATATGAAATATCGGGGATGGACTCTTTCCTAAATTGTAACTCAAGTCACACAACCCTTCTCAATGAATGCCATTTTTTACCGCGTGCTTTTGCTTTCGTTCTCATTATTTGTTACTTAATTTTGTCACTTTTGCACTTTTACTCTCGAATTTACTCTGGCTTCCGCTTTATGTGACTTAGATTGCAACACATGACCATTACTACCAATGAGCATTAGCCTAGATGATACGATATCTCATCCCAAAGGAGAGGTTGAGTCTTCGAGCTCAATTAGGTGCAATATTGCTAGGCCCTTTTCGTTTAAACTTTTGAAAAAAAAAAAAAAAAGGGGCCTGGCAATGTTATGAAACACATTGCTACATTAATGATCATCTCAAAAACAAAAAACTCATCCATCAGGTATGTACTTTGTAGCCTTATCATTGTAGAGACTTTTTACTTTACATGTATCATTCATTGCTGCTGAAGCTAATAATGGTGCTCTTATCTCCACTTATGAGTCTGGGTGATTTTTCGTTTTTGTCTATTTAAAGAATCTCATAACACAAGATATTTTTCATCCACAAGATACTGGTCCGGCCCGGCCCGGCCGGACAGTTTTAATAAAATATTTTCCAAAAAAGTACTAGCCTAGGCGAATAGTTAGTAGTTACCGATTATAATCATAAACTAAATTTTTATTTATTTATTTATTTTTGGCTAAAAAACTGAATGATATTGAAAGGTCAAAAAAAAAAAAAAAATCAGATAAGAAAATTTTAAATTAAATATTTTATAGATGATACGAAATTTTGACTTCCCTCTCTAAACCCCTGTCCTATATTCAAATCCATCTTAACAGAGACACAGCAAGGCCACTCCCTGATATCCCCGAGAATTATATTTACTGAATTAGCGTGACAATGACTTTTTAAAATTATTTTTAGTAATTTGTTATCTTTTGCGTTTTCATATGCATAACATTAAGCAGAATAGGGTGATCCTAGTTATTGTTTGACATAATTGATTTCTATTCAAAATGAAGAAAATGACATTCCGATTATTCCTATGTTAGCATAGCCAAGAAGAACTAATAAAAAATATGGCGCCTTTCACTCTGACTCAGCATACATACATGTATAGTACTCACCAATTTGATGGACATATCAGGAAGAACTCCAAGCTTGTATGCAGAATTTTAAATTTTATTCCAACAATTTAATAATAACAACATATGCTTCATTTTATAATTGGTTAGCTAACTTAGCTGTATAAGACTGATTAGCCCAACCATGATGTGTTACAAGTGAGACATCAGATTTGGATGAAAGTTGAAGTGTGTATAAATGTGTGTATGCAGTACTATCTAACAACTTGAACTTGTGAGTAAATGGACAAGCGTCTACTCGTTACAATTGGTATTAGAGTCAGACTCAGCCCTTAATTCGATGTCATGCCAAGCGTCGGGCTCGGAGGGCGTCAGGGTAGGCAGGCAGGGTGACCCGACCGCAATGAGAGCATTATGCAGGTTCAGATGGGGGAGAATGTTACAAGTAGGACTTGTCCCACATCGAATTTGGATAGGGATTGAAGTGTGTATAAGTGAGTGGGTATGCAACATTACCCAACAATTTGAATTTTTGAATAAATGGGCAAGCATCTACCCGTTACATTATGTAATAAAAGAAAGTGACAGTCATTTGAAAAAAGATTAAGGCAATACAAAATACAAAAAAGATATTCAATAGTAATTTTGCATGCTCAAAGAAACTTGTACAAGTTGGATAATAGATTGCATACTCTGTGTTGTTGTGACAAAAACTTTTAGTACACCATACAGGTAAAATGAAGGTCAAGGAAAGAAGCTCTAAAATATTAGAAGGATGATAAGTAGTCCGAAGGTCGGATGTATCCAGCTCCTTTATGCAAATAAAGGATGATGTCATGATGACATCTATTATTCAAATAAATTTAGTCAGATGTATCTTGCTCCCGAATTCTGTATCATTACTCAAGAGATGATAACCACTTATAGATGTCTATTTTGTTCAACACACTTTTTAAGAACTCTAAAAAATTAGACCTAAAAAGGGTTTTCCTGCCAGCGGCAGTTCTCCCATACCAACTTAGCTGCAGCGCCTACTACCGGTACCCCATAGGTTGGCCCAACCCAGTTATCTCGTACTAGGGCTCTGCACAAACAAGAAAAATGAACCAATTAAGCCCTAATTATTTACATTCTACTTCTGGTTAGAAAATGACAATACACAAGGTGAAACCTCAATGACCATTTAGAAAAGAGTGGTGTTACTCCCGCCAATGGGAGCGGCCGAAACCAAGGGCCGAGCATAGAGCTGCGACCATCCCATCTCTATGCATACAAGGGCCGGCAGGGACCATCCCATCTCTATGGATACAAGAGCCGGCAGGTTTCGTTTAATTCCCATTGGCATGAAAATCATTTTCCACTAGAAAATTGTCCCATGCAGCGAGCTTGATATGCCATAATTGCTACCAAACTTTCTAATAGTATATCGAAGTTCCTTGAAATTTTCAATTATGGACAGACTTTTATTATTAAATTCAGTCATTACTGACAAATACAAATGCATATAAGATGGAATCTAGACACATACTCTCAATAGATTCAGCCATGATTGACAAATACAAATACATATAAGATGGAATCAAGATAAAGAAACCCATTCCTTCTGTTTGCATCAACAGCTCCAGAATTTCGATTCAATACAATGCCAAAAATTGAAGCCTATTCGATTTGTCGCCTATGACGTGGTACAGAGCACAATTCGTACGTACACATTTAAGAATTACAAATTCTTGTAAACCATGTTGGCCCATTGTAATTTACTAGCAATCCTACGTTTAATTTGAGTATATTAACCCTAAAGTACATGAAATGTACATCACTGAATTGTATAAAGTTCAATAAACTAAATTGAATTTTATGATAATGCACTTTGAAAAGTAAACACACAATGGTTGTAAATTTCATACCTCATTCAGTCATTCATGCTTCAATCCAAAAGCTAGTGCATGTAGACATCTCTGGTGGCGGATCATCACATGAACTCATTGATTAGTGCTACAACATGTCTGGTGAGCCTTCTTAATAATTAAAGTTTCCAATATGTAAGGTGTTGAATTAGTCTGTCACGACAAACAAGAGTGTTACATGTCACAGTACTAGCACCACCAAAAAAAAAATGCCTGAAATATAAAATAGTTGTCACGGTGTTATCAATGGTTAAACAAGAGATGACAGATAATATAAGTGTGTATTTCTCATCAGAAAGGGCACATCTTTGTCATGGATATTCTTTGTACAAATAGTTAAACCAACCAAGGAAAACTAAAACCTCTCTCTCTCTCTCTCTCTGCTCATGAGAGAGAAACCATGGGTCTTTCAAGTTGGCTCTGCTCAAGCAGCACGAAGAACATGCTTGTCAAAATAGTTCATCCTGGAGGCCATGTGGAGTATCATGATAGGCCTGTTCTTGCAGCCGAGATAATGCATCGGAACCCCAAATGTTGTGTTGCCTACCCCTACGTGTTTCAGCAGCCTTGGGCTATTGTTGCCCCGGACACCACTCTAATGCTCGGCCAGAAGTTCTATGTTGTACCCATAAGAACCATTAGAAAGCTTCAACGGCTCTCAAAGTATTCTCCTTCCCAGGTTCAACAATTCAAAAACAATCAAAGTTGCGAACATCACAAAGAAGATGATGGCATGTTTTCAGCTTGCATCTTGTTATTGAATAAGAACACTCCAAAGATACCTCATGCTTCCCAGAAACAGTCAGACACCGAGGGAGAGAAACAAAACTCTAATGCTAGAAAGGAGATGGAGAAGGATGGACACTCCGGGGACGAAAATTGCTTTCAGTGCTTGCTTGCAGCGATGAGAAATAAAGCAAACAGCGAGCACTCAAGTAAGGGAATAAGATCATCAAGCAGCATAGGATCTTCTGAGACAAGGCAACTTACCAGGAAGAGGACCAAGGATTTAACCAGGAAGGGAGAGTCTCCAAAAAGATTTGAAGCTTTTGAACATTGGCAACCAAATCTGCAAAGCGTCACTGAAGAAAAAAGTTATTAAGAGGTTTATTTTTATTAATTGTTTTTTATGTTACATGAATTCATTAAAAAGTATGTGAAGTACCTGTGTCAAACACAACACACTTGGAAATGCATATGGGGTGTGCTTGCTGGATTTTGTTTGATATGCACCTAACAAGCATATCAAATAATTCAAAATTATTACATAATTGTACATAAAACTCTCTTATTATATTTCTTTTATTACATTATTGGTCCAAAACAAGTAAATTCTAATTGTTAGGATATGTGTGCCCTATCATAGCAAATTTTAATTTTGGATTGTAAAAGTCATGGTTCCTTATCTGAATATTATTATTAAAGCATTATACAATTGATGAATGAAATGTATTATTTTTCGATTCATTATGGAATTGATTGTGTCCACTTGATTACAAGATATATTTATATATATGTATGTAATGGCAATTAATACTATGTTATAAATTAGTAATCATAAATGGTTCAAAGTCGGTAATTATAGATGGACATTTAATTAGTTAAGACTTGAACTGAGTCCACGATAGATTGAGATATATTGCGAGAGTTGTCGTATGCAATTGCTCTCTATCACAGTCATGACTTTTGACTCTCAAGCATGAGAGAAGTATAGACTCTTTTATTAATTAATAATTACTTTGATTTGTTCGGCGGATACCTTGGGATCCTTAGATCGACACTTTGGGT